GTATATACCATATATTAACTTAAATTAAAATAATAATAAAAAAAATTTTCAATAAAATATATTTAAATCCCTTCCAATGAATCAAGGTATGCACATTTGTCATTCGTTTGCTTCAAAAATCTGATAAGCTTAGAAATACATTTAAACGCATTTAAATTTGATTTTTGTTTATGTATGTAGGTCACTACTTACAAATTTAAAATTACATTGATAACGAGGATCACCACTATGATTTCATTACATTACAACAWAATGCCACTCTCATTGTGCTAACGAAAGTCACTCGTGTTTACGAGACTCGAAAAATTCATGAAAATTTATTTTGAACTCTTAATTTTTTTAAAAGATAACACGCGACAACTCATCGATCAGTTTCTGATAACATAATATATAAATAAGTTAACGTCATTTGTTTGTTTTCGAATGATATTCTCTCCCCCTTCTCATTAGTTACCCTGTAATCTAGTAAGCATTAAAGCGCACGCTCAACTCTATTACAACCCTAAACTGTGGAAACGGCCGTTACATTATGCTCATTTGATGTAGTTTGAGCAGTGTGTACCTCATGCACCGTCACTAATACAAATGCAGCGGCAGGGAGAAAGTCAAAGGGCTATGTAGGAAAACTTTAATGGTGCGTTGWTTGTTTTATATGAAATAACCAAATMGTTGTGGGAAATGACGGTGTGCTTGGTTCCATAAAGTGAGGTCTGTTCTATTGAGAATGTATTGTTTGATATGAAATTCCMACAACAGCGAATTACTGGAGATCCTTAACCTTTTATTATTGACTTTTATGAATGTGTTGTCAAAGGTAAGAAAAAGTCGTGGAGATTGATAATTTTATAAACTAACTATAATAATATATTCTATTTTCTATAGTTACACGATTTCGTTATTCCTATGGTATAAAACTTGAAACTTGGAATTTTCGAACTAATTGAAATTTTTATAGAAAATAGTTTTAGGAGCTATAATCCAAGTGTAATATTGAGATTATAATTCAATTCGGATAGAAAAGGGAAACTTCGCAAGTGCCAAAATCATTATTYCATTGACTAACTATTACAATTTATTCTAATAACTTAGTTCGACAATTCGATATGTTTATATTGAACGTAGTTTTGCGACTTAGGTATAATCCAAGCGTAAAATAGAGACTACAAAGTCTATTTCGATTAAAAAGAGCAACTTCGAAATTTCGAAAACTTACTATTACTTCTTCGCATAAATGATTTCAAATAATTTAAACTTCGCACCTTAATTCGAGGTTTCGAATGCAAAACTTGAAGCTTCGAATTTTCATACGAGCTGAAATTTCTATATTGAAAAGTTTCGGCACTTAGAGCGTAAAATAAAGACTATAAAATCGATTTCTTAAAAAAAGAGAAAAATYGAAATTTCCAAAATATTACATTATTCTCTAGGATAAATGGTTACAAATACTTCCGAACTTAATTCGAATAAAAAAATTTCAAACTTCGAAATTTCGAACGAGTTGAAATTTGTACATTGAAAAATCAATTTCGTACGAAAAAGAGAAACATCGAAATTTCGAAAATCTTACAATTCTTAAAAATGATTTCGAATACTTCATAATTAATYAGAATATTCGACCACAAAACTTAAAACTTCGAAATATCGAACTTTTCCAATTTTATGCATTGAAAAAAGTTTTGGTACCTAAAGCGTGAAATAGATTTTATAGAAGTTATTCCGAATGGTATAGAGAAAATTTATTTTAAAAATTCAAATTTATTCAAAAAGTTTTGGTACCTAAATCGTAAAGTAGATGTCATTTGGGATGGTATGAGAAATTTCGAAAACAGAATATTCTTCCGTTTGATAACTTATAACAAATAATTTTTTCTAAGGAACGAATTAAAAACCCGAAACTTCGAATTTTCGAACGAGACGAAATTTGTAAATTAAAAGAAGTTTTGGTACCTAAAGCGTAACATAGATGCCATAGAAATCATTCCATATGTAAAAGAGAAAGTTCGAAATTTCGAAAACCGTATGTACATCGCTACATAACAAATAATTTATGTTTCGGAACTTAATTCGAATTAAAATCTTCCAATTTTCGAACAAAATGGAAAAACATAAATTAGAGGCTATTAATTTCGGATGAAATTTTCGAAACCCGTATATTCCTCCGCGTTATTGGTTTTATTGCTATATTTTTTCTACTACCTGGAAGTATACCCGAAGGTTTGTCAAAACTGCAATCGAAATTCGAACTCAACACCAATTGTTTATGTTCTTGCTGAGCTTTATTTACTGCTTCGAAACCCATTTTGAAGATAGTTTTCGACGTTATCACGAATTAGTGTTAAAGTTCGACACCTTGAACTATGGAAGCAGTTGCGTTAGACGACTAGTGCATACAAACTTCCCTCTTTAACAAGGGTTGATAAGTTCGGCAACTCAAATCAATAATTTATATGATATTTTTTATTATTTCTGTAAATAGTTCCCTGCAGGGGCGCACACAAACATGCAATATTATCAAACTTCCACCGCTTTTGCTCTCCAACCAACACACACACACATGCGCGCTTACTAAATTGTCGAGGAAAACTCTAGCATCGACATCTGTTCTTTGCTTGTGTCTGAAATTTTCCGCACACACACATTTGAACACATGTGTCTATGCATGTATGTGACTATAGAATTTCACTCGCTAGTGAAAATTTGCTCTGCCTTTGTTACTGTTGTTGTTATGAGCGCATGTTTGCACATTGTTGCATAGTGGCTCGAGCGCCGAGTTGTGAGCRCACTGTGCTTCAGGAGGCAGCATTCGTACATTGAGTTTTCAGTTGCGTTCTTTCTTTCGGTTTAATTAGACGTTTCATTTGTGTTTGCTACATTCGTTCGCACGTCCGCATGTTCTTAATATACATACATATMTACACATAAATGTAGAGATATGTAGTAGCAATCGCATTTATACAAGACACTATATAAAATCGTATGTACGTCGCGTTTTGCTGTTTTTCGTTTTTTTTTTTTTTTGTGTGTTTGATTTGAATACATTGTCCGCGTATCATTAAAGTAGAATTTTGCAAAATTTCTTATGATTTCGTGTCGGTCGCGTGTTTTTATTATTGTTCCTGCAAATGTCTTTGTTTTTATGATTGCCCAAAATTTTATTGCTTGACAATTTGAATTTCATCTGCTGAATGATGCCGCTGACTGGCGGGCTAAAAGTTCGCCTAGTGTCGCTCAAATCACACCAATTAATATACTATGTATGAATGAAACGTGTGGAAAGCGCGTGGAAAGTGTTGGAAAATATGATTAAAAAAAGAAGTGAAAAACAAAAGTTTCGTGAAAAAAATCGAAAAGTTTTTATAAAAATAACACAGCTGCAGTAATAGTGGCTGGACTCAACGTCGCACAAGTGAAACAGAAATTTCGTAAATACATCCATACATGTGTGCATCTGTTTGTGTGTGTAAGTTGGTGTAAAGAAAATATAAAAATTAATTCCGCTTTTAAATTATCAGCGGAAAGTAAGAAAAATAACTAAAAACAACAAATATAAGCTCTGTGCTCAGCAAGTGACAAGGAGAATTGAAAATTGAAATATGCTTTCTTGACCCCCCCTTTTGCTTTTTTGCTGAGCAAACTATAAGACTATAGTGCATGTGTGTGTATGTGTRTRTACGAGTTGAGAGCGTATGATGGATAGACAAATGGCTGGACGGATGGATGCTGTGCGCTAGCAAGGGCACGGAAATTTACGTATATACATACATATGTACATACATACATATTTGTATATCTAAAGGGGTTGCTAAATTTAGTTTTTTTTTCTTTTAATATGAAATTAAACACAACAACTGTGCGCATTTAATGCTGCTGAATTATAAAATTCTGTGGTTTTTGAATTGTGATTTTAAAAAGTTGCCAAATCGGCATAATTTTTATTACGCAGCCACTACGTGATTGCTTATTTCTTAAATGCAAATAAATATAGTACTACATATGCACCATATAATGGGTGATACATTTCGACGTTCCCTATTTATTTATTTTTTTCAAAAAACACAGAAACTTCAGATTTAAATGAGGAATGTTTATTATCATTCTAAGATTTTTTTTTTTGAAGATTATCGCTTTCAAATATTGGGATTGG